CACCACCCCCCCCGCCATTACGCAAATGGCTGTTGTGCGGATTTCTCGTTTTACCCAACTCTGCGTCGGCACTATACGGGCTATTCGGCAATGCCTACAGGGCGGAATCTCGAACGATTTGTGCATTTCAGGAGGCTCGAAACGGACAATGCTGTCGACAGCAACGGCAGCTAGGGTCCAGCCGACCCCACCATCGACGTCAGTGGCAATGACCTCATTGTCGAAAGCCGATGCATTTTGCGATTTGCGCCTCCGGAAGTGGGAAATCACACGCCAGGGACATGGCAGAATGCAGAATGCAGAAATTTGGGGCCATGGTGAGTTGTTGCGTGAAAATCGTGACAGGAGCGCATTTTGTTTCCAGGTCTCCGATCCTTTAGCTTTGGGCGACAACCCGTCAAGTGCATCAGTTCTTGATCGATGTTTTGAGATTGATTCGGGAAGACGCATTGCATTCCTCTCGCTCCGCAGTCTGGGAGATATACGTACAGGTGTTAGCTCCCCGCAATGCCACAGAGGGGTCATCAAGGGGCGCGGTCGACAAGATCTGAACTAGGCAGCAACTCGCTCTGAGCAGCCCCTTGCCATGCCAGGGCTAGTTTTCAGCCATGCCATGCCGTCATTTCTTTGATCAAATGACTGTAAATATGACCTCCAGCCTGTAGGATCACATCGTTAAGACCCCTACCGCTGGAATCACTAGCGTCGTACAATTTTCGAGAACTCACTAGCTCCCAGGGATTCGACATGAAGCTTTTGCACACACATGTATGCTCACCGACAAACGAGCGCATTGGGCATACTTCATTTGGCTGCCTGTTTTGTGTTTCCCTTCCGCTGAGAATTACTCCATCGGCTCACTTGCTATGCTTACCCTTTCACTTACTCTCTTGACAGATGCAGGAAAAAAGAAAAGGGGAAAACGGCTAACACATTCCCAAGGGCAGTTGGGCAAACCAGCCTTCTGCTTGTCATCCGGGCCTAAATTGTACCAAAATCACCGCACCCCCGTCTTCTTTCTGTGGCGGCTGTGGGGTTTCATTCCCATACTCTATAGCCTTGCTGTAAATGCATTGAGGCCAGAAGTTGTGGCAAATTGCGACCTGTCTCCTCGACTCCGGTTATCTCCCCGTGCCGCCCATAAATTCGGCACCTCACCCCGTCCCTTTGCCACTGAGGCGATAGACTGTCTGCTCAGGTTTCAACGCAGCTAGAAACGCCTCAAGTCCGCTGGACTGCCTCTTCCCTTCATACCACAAGAAACATGTTTTGATTCAAAGTTAAGTCAGTAGACTGCAAGTACGCTGTTCCTCAAATCTCGGCGTCTAGCTGTCGTCGGTGTCTGACCTTGCACAGCCGCAACTCTATCCTTTGGGATGCCGTGTACAAGCAACACCAATCGTTAAAGATCTCCTTCGCCGCATAACCCCTCATTCCCTTGCTCGACATATCCAACTCTCAGCCAGCCTGACCGAGTTGTGGACATGTCCCAGCCTTCCTCGACCGGTGCAGTGCGCCACTTCACATCAACAGAGTGCGACATAATCCAGCTCTCCATTTACGACGAAGATGTGGCCATCTGATGTTGTTGACGGAAGCAAACATCCCCTTCATCCGGTTAGAGCAGGCTAATCACCTCTGGTGTCAGCAGACCTACCGCTTGTTCCCAAACCACTACTTCTCGATTTCCCACCACGACAGCAGACCGTTCCTACAGCATCAATCGATTCACCGAGCCGTCTCAATACGTGCCGCTCCACCATCCAGATCGATGCCTGAGGGGCCCCATGGGGTATACACCTCTATCTGTGCGGGCCGCAGAAGAGCGCGCGAGACAAATCATTGACAGTGTGGACGCTGTTTTCGCATCTCGCTGACGACAGATTTATGAAGTTCCCAGTACAAATTACAGCACCGTATTATTTACATCAACTTCGGATTGACACAGTATCCTTTCGGTGTTGTATTAATATACTTCTATTTGCTACCAAAAGTGCATTTCGTCCCGCGACTTATACATGACGTTTTATAATAGTTTTGTCCTATTTCCACCCACTTGCCGCATTAGGCAAGTATGCTTTGCGGTTTTTTCGCCACGGGCCGTAGCAAGTCCCGTCGAAAGTTTGCCCGGATCCAACTACGTACTTTCATGCGCCTAAACATTTATCCTTTGGCTGTATCACCTTTTCCGGATGGTGGTGTATGACTGATGACGCAGCGGCTTCCGCGGCAGAGTGTCGCAATTGACATACAAATGTAGGGTATACTGCAAGCAAGGGTCAGAATACCCAATATATCAAGTCTTGTCTACTACTAGATATTGTTCAGATTATGCATCTACATCTCCTGCGCAGGCATAGTTTCCCTGTCCTGCAAGATACTGCTCGCAATACAATCGCTGTCGTCTATTAGCAGCCAACACGGC